ATAGTCTTGTAGTTAATAATACAATACTAAATAAAGTTCTAAGTTCTCTATTAGTTCTTTAATAAATATAATCTTTTAGTTTTAAAAATAAACTTCTCTAATGAACTGCTACAGTGATATAACATTCCACTTTGACACTATTAGGAGTCCTCCTTCTATGTCTTATGTTACTTGGGGTGTATTAAGAAGACTACACCACTTGTAACAATATTACTACTAACTACTACTTAATAAGTACTAGCCAAGTACAAATATTTTTTTTATTTTTCAACAAGCTATCTGCAGATTTTTATTAAGTATTATTTTCAAGTTACATTTGTTAATAAGAGTACAATTGGCTATACATATAACTTTAGTTATTATCTATTTAAAGTTTCTGCTATATAGATTATTTACTAATTATTATATCTAATATCTGTCTGTAGATACTCTATTTAAACTCTTTAGTATTACTGTAAAACTCTATATTTAATCTAATATTTATAATCTACACTAATTTTATACTACTTTATTTTGAAAACTACTTAGATTAACTTGTGCTTCAAATTGTTTTTAGAGAATTAAGCTCTATCAAAAGATATTCTAATAGTCTTATTCTAGTAAGAGCTAGTATATACTATTATTAGTATTTATACAAATCTAGTTCTTGCTATAGCTCTTTACTAGATTAGTTCTCTATATTTTTCTAGATATTTCATAAGATAGATCTTCTTAAATTTAGTTAGCTACTAAGCTAAATTAGTATTACTATATAACCTTATGTAATATACTTACTTGTATTTATTTAATCTATATCTTTTGTACTTAAATTTTTTTTCTGAATTAAGTATTAACTAGTATAACTATTAAAATCTATACTATATCATCTAATTCAGAATTTCTACTATACAAGACTTCTGCTTATAGATTCTATTAAGATTTATTCATATAATAATATATTAAACTTGATGCTATATTATACTTAATACTATATTATACTTCTAATATCTAATTAACATTAGTGTAATATGATTTATAAAGTTATAACCTCCAGAAACAAACAAGGTTTACTGTAAGTAGATACAAAGATCTGAGTAATTATTCAAATTTATTGATAGTAGGATTTGAACCTCAGACTTCTTATATAGTAGTCTGGTAATTTAACTACTATACTAAAATTACTAGACCTATAAGTACAAATATTAAATAACTTAGTAATCTATATCTATTTAGTTTCTATAAAAAATTAATCTTTTTTTTACAAAGCTAAGCTTATTGCAATTCTATTAGCTATAAATATTTGCTTATAAAATAGTAATATTTAAATCTTACAAACTTTTAAACTATTATATTCAAATATATTAAAATTACTATATATCTTCCTTAATCTAATAAAATATACTTATATAACTACTAACTTATCTAGAATACTCTACTTAATTTAATTAAATCTTTCTTACTTAATATTATATTCTATAAAGTTCTATATATTAAGATAATATTTTTAATAATTTTACTAACTCTTTTACTAAAATAATATATTTTTAACTATCTAAACTTCAAATAAGACAACTTATACTATCTATTATACTTCTTTTAATATAATAATTTTAATATTAAACAACTAACATATTACTTTATAAAAATATTTATAATACTTACATTATTGCTATATAGTTATTCTAAAACTGAATAAACTATATTATACTTATTTTTTATCAAATTAACTTGAATACTATATAACTTTCTTTAATAATAACTACAAATAAACTAATAATTATATAAACTTTTAGCTCTATTAAGCTTAATTATTTCATATAAAAATCTTTCTAAACTCTCTTTTATTTATCAATATTTATATAACTTATTTCTTTATCTATATTCTATATTTTATATAATTTTTATAAATATAGATTTTACTAGATACTTATTCAAATACTATATCTATTTTTTATATTATATTACAAACTATTAAATAAGTATTATTATCTCTTTAAGTAACTTATATCTCTATAAAATAATCTAACTTTAATAATAACTACTTTAATATACTTACTTATTCTTCTTTTTTAATATCTCTTCTAACTAAACTAATATCTTCTCTATATGATAAGGTTTTGTTTTTTAAGCAATTACTAATACTATAAACTTATATACTAATTCTTATAAAATAAAATCTAATATAACTATTTAACTACTACTCAAGCTATCTCATAATCTATAGAAATAGACTTAGAAATTATATTATCTCAATTTATCTAATTAGAAAAATATATATAATATTTTTAACAACTAATATTCCAAATTAATATCTTTAATTCTTAAAACTTACTACTATATTCTTAAACATAATTTATATTTAATTATATTTATAATCTTCCTAACTAACAATATATAAATTTTAATACATATTTTCTCAAAGAACTTACTCTTTGCAAAATTGATATTTGGACTTCTATATAGATTAAATATAGTACTCCTACTTAAATATTTAAATCTAAATAAGTTTTAACTATTTTAATAAATCTAAGTTGTAGATAAATTAGTTAGTTTTTCTTTCTATAGTCTAAGCTCTATTCTTGTATTTAAATTTATAACTTCAAGTATCTCTATATAGTATCTCTAACAAGTTCATCAATAAAAATAAGAACAAAACTTTATCTTAAAAAAAATAATAAAAAAATAAAATTTGAAAAATCATGTATAGTATTATATCAGAAGGTAGTATATCTAGAAAGTTAAATTAGCTCTTTATAATGAGTAAAAATTTTTAATAGGAATTTTAGGATTATTAAATAAAATGATAGTAAAATCAGAAAATTATTATATTTTAGATTATTAAATCATAATTATATAATTTTTACTAATTAAAAATTGGTTAAAACAACAATTAATATAAGTTTATAATAGTTTTATAAGCAAAATAAATATAATATAATATTATCTTTTAATATAATAAGTCAGTAGCCTAAACTTATAGATCTTTGTATAATAAATTAGGATAACTTATTAAATGAGATATTTAGATTTGGTAAAAAGTATTCCAAAATTTCAATTATTACTTGCATTATATTACTTCTCTTTATTCTTTCTTATCACAAAGTTTATAAATTTCTTAACTTCCTTAATCTACTAACTTTGATTTATTTTCTTTCTTAGAATAATCAACAATTCAATACTCAGCAAGTTCTCTCTTTACTTAATTAATAATTCAAGTTTTACTTTTTACCAAAGAGTAATAATTTGAAAGCATAATATTATCATAGATATAATATTAAATGATTAATAAAAGATCAGGTTAGAATTATTTAATGAAGTTATGGGTTAAAGAAAGGTTTAGAACTTTATTTACGAGTAAATAAATGTATCGATTGAACAATATTTTTATTAAAAGACAAAAATGCCTGCATATAAAGAAATTGAAACAATGGGTTGCTAATAAGTCTTTTAATATTTATTTTTTATAAAAGACTTATTACTCAATATTCGAGTTCTCATCAATTTCCTAAAAAAATTTTGCTTTACTTTAATGCATATTACGAATATAAATAATAAAATCACTAAAAGTAATAAATGTTCTATAGTACTTATCCCTCCTAAAAACCCTATATTACCTAAATACATTAAACTACTTATCCGAGCGATCATTCTTTAATCACTTTAAGGTCCTAAAGTCAATTAACGCAATATCGCTCCTTAAAGCGCGGGATCTACTTAGCCGTGAAATTGAGCTGCGGCCAAGTTATGTAAGTGTAGCTCGGAACCCAATTTTCACCATGTGACAATAACAATCAACCAATCAAAAATTAAAATCAGCAAAAAAATTAATACGATTTATAAACGGTTTCATAAGGGTTTCTTAAACAATTAATACGTAACTAAGAAAAGCAATTAATCAACCAAATTCAATTCGTAATACAATTCAATTTTATTTACTTCCGGAAATTACATAATACGTATCACATAAAGATCTTAAATGAATTCTTATCATCTAATTTTTAATTGTCACCAAATCAAAAAAATCCGTACATACATTAATACTCCGTACGCAAATGATCTTGGTTGTTATGCTTGGTTCGTCTCGATTCTACCATCTATTTAGTCCCGGACTGTAGTTTGATCTGATCTTATAAAGATCATCAGTCCTTGGACCAGGATTGGATCAAATCTTCTACGCCTTTATATAGTTGAATATTTGGATTATTTTGATAGTTATGATATTTCTGTATTTCGGTACCAAATTCTTGTGTAATAATCTCTCTAGGAAGGGTTCTAGCCTAGACTTCTCAACGCCTGTTGACGTTACATCTAATTGTGGCACCCTATTGCCTATTCTGAATAATACCACCAGTAAGGTTTATAATAACTCCAAAGAATTCATATAGTGTAAACATTATAGATATTTGCAATGCCTAAAGTTTAACATCAAACATTTTTTGTTAACTTGATAAGAAAAGAAAAATGAGTTAACGTTAATGAAAATATGTTTTTAAGTACATTAAAATGTCGATCATAGAGTTCCAGCAACACAATCATACGAAGTCCAGAATCTGTAAGAGTGAAGAATATATATCCAAATGAAATCACATAGAAATTTCTCATAGGTGCCACATTGTTATTCTCCTTTTTCAATTCTGAAGATTTCAAATTTTCTTGAACATTTACTTCTTGGTGTTCATTATTTTCTTTTTTTTGTTGCAAAGATGTCACCATCTTATCATCTTCTATAGCTAATTCATAGTTCGTTAATTCAAGTTGTATTTCTGGTTTTTCTGACATCATATGATTTTCTTTTTTCATAAATCAATTGAGGTGAAGTTTATTATAATAAAAAATCTTTCCATTTTATATGATCCTGTTATACATTACGTAGCAAAAAATTTAATCTAAAATTTTAGCCAATTAAAATTCTTATTAGATAATAAATCGAACTTCCATTATGCTGCTACCTTATCATGTAACCATAAATATTCATATGACCAGTAAAATGAATTTTTAATTGCACGTTAATAATATATTACATATAAATATAGTTAAGATGATAAAAACTGATTTACAGATCCAAAATTCAAATTATTCACAATTTTTAATTCATATAGCCCAATCAAATTTCAAAAATTAATTTTTTGAAAATAAATTTTATGACAATCCGATTGGCTACTTTGAATTAAAAATTATATCGATATGAACAATTCAAATATAAATAAATATATATGCATAACAATGGTTTTATCAGCTATGTAAATACGTACAGTACGTAATATGCATTA